GCTCAGATGCTGCCTATGGAGACAGTTGAAAAGACTCGTGCTCGCAGCAGGCAGAAGCTCAGAAGCATAACCTGGACAGTAAGAAACCCACCTCCATAAAGGACACAGCAACAACAGCTTGTTTGAATGTAGGCTTGACTGCTTTTTCAGTGAAATATTAATTGGCTGGATAAAAGGGACCACAGTGGATTTCCATAGACCCTAAGTCTGAGGTGGCCACAACCCCTTCCAATCTTTTTAACATTCTCTTCCTTAGGAGGTGGTTTTTTGGATCTTAACAGAGAAATCAGTTTTTGATCTTCCAAGGACCAAGATTCTTGAACAACTTTACTACAGATGTAGTGGCAGCAAGAAAGCCTGGAGGGATTATAAACTGAATCCCAACGCATTTATGAAAGGAATTCCCTGCAATAGCAGCCAACTGTGGTTGGTGGTCTGGGAGTTTCCTGTGCTTGCCGTTCAGAAGGTCTGTTGTCTTTTCAAAAGCTTCAGCTTTGAAACAGAAGGCAGTACAAGCCAACCTTTCCAAATGGAGGCCAGCACAAGCTAGGTGAGGTTCTAAGATGCAGCTTTAGCGGTCAGACATGCCAAGCTTTGTTGAAACATCAGTGGAGTTCTGTGTCTTCTGCTGAATGCTTCTCCTAGCATTACCTTGTACTCACCATGTGGTCTTGGGAGAGCCAAGCCATGTCCACATTGTATTTTCTCATCTAAAATAATGGGAGAAGCATTCCAAACACCACTGTTATAAAGGCTGTGATGGTTAATGACTCTGAGGTGCTTGAATAAAAAGCAGTCTGTGCAAATCCAGTCAGTCTGGAGTCCAACGAGTGCTTGGAAGACAAGGACCCAAGCATTTTTACAACCTCACCTTCCCCTTCTCTGAACGTAGGGCTCTCTCTGCCCCCCTCTCCCATTACTTCTCCATACAAGCACTGTTTCAGACAAGAAGCAGAATGCGTTTAAAAAGAAAGAGAGAAGAGAGTGCAAAAGAACAGAAGCACCTATGCATTTCACATGTGATTTTTACCCACTTTGTCACATAGCTGCAAAAATGTTGAAATGTTGTCTTTATTTGTATACACTTTTTTTTTTTTTTTTTTTTTTTTTTTTTTTTAACACCATAACTTGTAAATAGGAAATGAAGTCACAATCCTCAAAATTATAATGGCAGGCACACAAAGACACAGTTGCTGGCACGGAATTCAATTAACAGATAGCAATCACCCTTGGGTGACTGTGTGAGGTGGAAATATACAAGCATGCTAATAAGTAATATCTTAAAGCCAAGGCGTTTATCAGCCAGCAGCCAGACACGGGCATAAATGTGGGCAGACAGCACTGCTCTGGGATATTTAATAAAACCCACTCTCTTCATTTGAGGATTTGTGTTTAATCATTTGGTAGCATTTTAGAAACATCCAGGCTGGGAAACTTCTCAAACGGAACTGCTTAGGTCAGAAAACGTAAAGAGTTATTTACTGACACCAAAATAGCCAAAGGAATAGAGTGGATTCTAGGTAATATTAACAAAATTCTTTCTTGCCATCTTTTTGACCTTTTGAGTTTCTGGGGTATGCCTGCTACGTGAATCAGAGCCTTATCTTGGGAAACATGCAGGAGGCATTCATTAATACTGAGAAAGTAAATTATTGAACTGCTATTTTGAATTAAAATACTAATTTTTTTTTTCTGGGTTGAAAGTCAAAAACTAAAATAATTTTCTTCTGGGCTTCTTGATCTTTAATTTGGACCTTATTTGGGGCTTTCAAAGGCTCTGGAGAGGCCAAGATTTGTCATCCACCAAAAAAATGCTTAATTTAAACTTCCTGTCAGAGCTGCCTTTGTGTCACAGCAGTTGGATGAACTCACAGGCCTGTTCTTTGTGGTTAAGGACTTCCGCTTGGAGGAAAGAGCAATCCAGAAGCAAAGTTGTGGCTTTCTTTATAGGAAGGCAGTTGAACTCATTAGGATACTTGTTAGAATCTTCATGCAGAAGAAATGTTAACTCTTGGTGGGGGTACATTCCTGGGTAACTCTCTAATGTTAAAGCATTTATTGAATGAAAGTGGCTTGAGGCAGGACAAATGGAGGCTGGCCAGCTTGGCCATGGGACATGAAGGAAGCAGCATGTGTGAGCCATTAGCGAGGAAGTCTAGAGGCTTTTGGCTGGGGAACAAATAGTGTTGCTGACAGATATTTATTGCTTTGCTTTTGGTTTTGCCTCTGCTTTCAGAGGACAGACTAGCCTTCTGTGGGCATAAGCCCTGCTGCTGGGCTGGTGACAGCACAAAACCTGCTCTGCTTGTAGTCCTGCCCACCATGTCAGCAGTCCCAGGAACTGAGAGAGCTTCCTTCAGAGTGCATTGCTTCAGGAAGCTGGGCTTTCCCTGTTACTGGTCACACTGCCTGCTTGACTTAGGTTTGAACATTCTTGATGGTCCATGCAGGCAATGGTGACCACCAAAGGTGAAGTGGTAGCTAAAGAAATGGGGAGGTTGCCTGATGTGTATGAACTTAGCAACTTGGCTCTGCCAAGAGGCTTGTAAAAGGCAGATGTGGGCTGAAATAAATATTGAGGACAGGTTGTGGGCATGCTAGAAGTACCCTCTAGCAAATACTCTTGCTACCTCTTTCTTTTGCATGGGATTCATGTGATCAGTGGCCGGTCTCCTCTGCCAGCCATTTCCCAAACTGCTGGCATGCAGCCCAGGTTTGGCTGTGCTCAGGAAGTTGTGAAGTGGCTCTGAATAGCTGCTGTGAAGCTGTCCCTGCACTGCTCCTGTCACAAAGAGTTTTCAGTGCCGCCTCACTAATGGATGGGTTTCTCCTATACAGAACACCGAACAATGCGGTGATACATTCAAGTTTTATTAATGTGAGTTTAGAGTGGCCTCATTATTCATAATGGCAATGCTGCAAGAGAATTGTGCAGTTCATCCCAAACTGGAGACTGTAAATTCTGTAAGCCACACAGCACCATCGAATGGTGTGTTTTCATCACTTATTTTTGCAGGGAAGCTATTTGTATTCCTTCCGTATGTAAACCCAAGCTGTCTTAATATTGCAAGCCCAAACTGTGTTGGAGGAGGTAATAACAACAACAACAAAAAAGCCTCTAGTACGTTTTAGGAAACTCCATCATAACACTGTGATATTAAGACTTAGTACCTGCTGCTGCATGGGGAGCACGCGATGGAGCTGGGTGGTAGGCACCAGCTGGAGGTGCTGGAAGAGCCTGACTCTTGCCCATCTGCAAGTTACTTGGTTTGGGACCAAACACCGCTCTCCTTTGCTGCAAATCATGCATATGTGTGTCTTGTGTATGTATGGGATAAGGAGAGACTGTTTTTCTTCTGGCTGAAGTTTCTTTTATAGATAGCAGCTGTAACAGCAGGAAGTGTGTGAATTGTGCTTGGTGGAGCTACGCTGGTGGGCAGGTTGGAAGTATATTGGTCAAAAGTTCAAGACAATTCTAATTTACTATGAGGATTACACATCAGCTGCCTGATATAAATAAGGCTTCACAGGCATCAGGGAGCAGTTCAAGCTATATGTCAGTTTGCTTCCATGCTTTCCTGAGAAGGCTGTCATCAGTGGAGCTGGTGTGGGTTCACAGTGAGAGCAAGCAGCTGCTCAGGAAGAAGCAGTGGCCTCACTTTGTGTAAGCACCAGGTGACTGTTGGAGAGATGAAGCTGACTTTTCTGTGCTTCTGAACCTGACCCAGTGACCTAGAAATACAGGAATCCACAATCTATTACCAGACTTTGCAGCTACTGACTCTTGCAAAATGCCTGTCCCTGTTCCAGCAGCCTCTGTAGGCCTGGAAGCCTGGCAGTGGCTGCTCACCACCCACAGCCTGAGCACAGCACTTGTTAAGGGAAATACTCATTGGAAGAGCTGTGTATATTCTCTGTGGTGAGTGTTAGGACATGACTCAGAACCAATTGCTCAGGGGAGTTACACAGCAGCCAGTTGTAACTTTTGCAGGAAACACTGCCTGAACTTGAAGACACTCTTTCTCCTTCTCTCCTTCATCCACACCCTTTTGGGTATGGCTTTTAAAATAATTAATCCTGGGCTGAGAGGGACCTCTGATTTCCCAAGCCTTATGGCTGAAGCAAGCCCTCTACATGCCAGCAGCTGCTATTGGCATTAACACTGGGAGTGCTGACAACAGCTACCAAAGGTTAAACGTAGTGGTAGAAATCAATAGTGTGATGTCCCCTTCTCCTGCTTCCCTCTGCTTCTGAGGTGGGAAATGGTCCTGAGGTGCATAAAGTATAAAAGTTAACATTTCTCCAGCTCAGAACACATGCATTTATGCAAGAAGCTTTAAGGATATATTTTATGATCCCAGTGTAGAAAAGCGCGTCTTCATTCAGTACTTGTAGGAGAGGCAGAGGATTCTGGAGTGTTGGTTATTATGCAAGGCATGTGTTTAAAACGTTAAGTACCTTGATTGTCTCTCACATAGCTAGTGCTGTCAGCAGTTTTCACAGGGCTTTTATGTGCCTTTTTTCTCCCTGAGATACCTGTGTTCTCTGTAGAACTGATTCTGTTTCTGAAGCAATTCATTAAGCATCTTCAGTGCACCACTTCTGTGAAGAGGTCAATTTGTTCTTTCTGCCTAGTGATGCAAAACTATGGGCTTCAGTGGGTAAGTATTAGATGCTCTTCTTGCTGTTTAACTTATGGCTTCCTTCAAACTATCTTCTCCAGCAATCCCCTCTTTTAACATATGCATTTATTATTCATGAAATGTGGAAACTGATGCTACCATATCAGTGTAGAACAGGTACAGTTGGGTGGTCTGGCATGCGTAGGGTAATCAGCTCAGTCTCTTCTGGAAGAAAGATTTTTCTCAGGGCAGTGTATGGGAGCTATTGAGTCACAGCCTGAACCACTCATTGAGCACCTGCAGAAAGGACCCCCAGTCAGTGCTAATGAGCACAGGTGAAGGCAATTCATCTGTGTGACTGGAGGAGTAGAGCCTGGCTGTACCTCTCTTAGACCTTGTTTTAAGGGCTGACTGTCATGCAGGAAGGATCTCTTTGGTGAGGTTCACCTCTTTAGTGAAGGTTTCCCCTACAAACCTGGAATCTTCTGATATAGGTGAGCAACCTTCTTCCCTTCCTTTATAGCATCTTGCTATAATGCTGGTCCTTCTGTCATCGCACATCTGTTGTAACACCTTTCCCATTGTATTGATCTGTCTAATTGCTACAGGCAGGAATGAGCTGTTTCTTTCTTTTAGGTTCCTTTCTTTTTTCTGACAAGGTAGCAGCGTGGTGATGGGTTGGTACATGCCTGTGTGATGAGACTCCTGGAGTACCACCAACTTGAAGGTTGTTCCTAATGAGTGTCATGCACAAGCTGCTGGATAGCTTCTGGGTTCTTGTCTTTTGTGAGTCTGCCTTTGGTAGGTAAAAGCAGGGCTCTGGAAAGGAGCCTAGAGCCCAAAAGCAATGCTCTGTAAATGTGTTCTCTTGCCTTATAGCTTGAAGTTTGAAGTCGTCCATAAGTCTTCAGTTATCTGTTAATAACTCTCCACCTATCCGATTCTTCAGGTCCAAATGCCACTTTTTATCCTCCGTAACAGTTATTGCTGCACTTACTTATTTATTTTTCCCCTAACTTCTCTGATATTTATATATATTCTAATATAGAAATTGATCTGTATCAACTCTTTACCTGCTAGATGTGATAGGGTTCTTGTTGAACAGCAAATACTGGGCTGGCTGGATTGTGGAGTGAAGGTAAGTTTTGCCTCAGTCTTTTGAGGACACTTAATAAGGGGAGTTTGCCATTTCTTCCCATAATTCTTACCACTGTTTTGGAGTCTACTTCAGTTTTACCATTGCAGCTGGGAGTATGGCTCATGATGTTTAGCCAGTCCACCAGTTCTGGAGACAGCACTGCTTCCTGCTGAAATAAAAATTGGTAGGCCTTCATGAAGTTATCCAGAGGCTCTTGGTTAATATTAAATGAATACACTGGGGACAGTAACTAGAGCTATTAGAATATCAAGTGTATTAACTAAACTGTCATCCTAAGGAGGTAATATGTCCTCAGAACAATTACTCAATTACTCTTTTTTTTTTTTTTTTTTTTTTTTTTTTTTTTTTTTTTTTTTTTAAACAAAACTCTTGTATTGCTTATTTTGGTAGTTACATCTTTTTTTCTGACAAGGTTTTAGATAATGTGAGTAACAAAACATAATTTTCTGAATTTTTTGCATACATACATAATTTTTACATACATAATTTTGCATACAGTAAGGTTTCTGTTTGGAAAACATATTTCTCTTTTTCTTTCTTTCCTTTTCTTATTGAGACAAAGTCAGACTCTTAAGAAGAAAAAATGGTTGCAAAGAGTTACTAGAAAGCATAAATCACTGGGGGCTACAAGGGTAACAATCTCAGAACTACTAGTTCATGAAATCTTTGCAGCTGTTTTCCTCCTGATATAGTGGTATTTTCTTTCTATTATCACAGAAGGGTCTAAAGAAGTATGTACTTGGTTAGCTGAAAACTTCCAAGGATGCTGACCAACTTGTTGTTCTTTGTTCTGGTCCAGCTGAAATATTTTCAGCTTGCGCTTCATTAACAAACAAACCCAAAAAAGCCTGAACAGTAAGTGATGCCTCACATTTCCTGCTGGAAAAGATTTCAAAAGCTCATAAAATGTCTTCAGACCGTACAATATATCACATCATATTAATTTATGGTAGTCAATGAACAGTCGGAAATGGTAGAGGAGAGATGGAGAGCCTGTAATATTCAGCTTTATTCAGAACATATATCAGTCCTTTTTTTTTTTTTTTTTTTTTTCTTTACATGCAGTTTAGGCATAGCATCTCCTCTCCCTTGCTTCAGGAAAAAAAAAAAATCCACATATTTGTATTATATTATGTTCTCCAAGCAGCAAATTCCCTCTGCCAACTATCTGTGGGTGTGCAGCCCTTCCTTGGGAACATGCTGTATCTTCTGAGTTCCTGTGTTTGTGATATCACAGTGCTTTTGCTCTGCAAAGCCATGAATGGGGCCATTATGAGGGACTGCTAGATGATTAAGATTCTGAGAAGGGTAGGCTGCTAAAAAGTGTGTTTAGTGAGGAAATTACAAGGCCAATAAAAAGAGCGTCTTTGCGAGTTCTAACTGCATTCTTTTTTTTTTTTTTCCTGTGTATCTAATTTTTCAAGGTCTGCTTGGATCACGTTGAGGTTTTCTTTCATCCCTTTTTTTCTCTCCACAACGGGAGTTGGGGCTGGAGTCTAAGTCCAAGTTAATGAAGCTGCCTCAAAGTCAGGCAGGGAGAGAATAAACCACAGCTCTGAGGAGCAGACCGCTGGAGGTTCCTCTTTCTTGCTGCTCACTGGAGTTATTTGATTTGGGAACAAGATAAGAATTCATAACATCTGATTTGTAGAATAACCCAGAGGAGGGGAAAAAAGGCAGAAATACTAATTTCAGATATCATTTTAATCTCTCAGTTTTCTAATAGTTTTTTTGAGTTCTAATAACATTAATCAAATATAAAGTTCAGAATTTGGTGAAGCTGTGCACTGACAAATGCGTCTCCAAATAGCCCGCTGTTCAGCACTTCTTTTTCTGTCAATTCTCTGATCAGGGAAGGTCTGGAGCATAACATTCTCCCAGTTATTCATTTCTCCCTTTCTCCTTTCTTTTTTTTTTTTTTTTTTTAATTCCCCCACTAAGAAATACACCTGGCAATTCATTACTGGTCTCCCAAGAGTGTTATTAATGCCAGTTTATTTATGTATTAATTATTCAAGTGCAAGCTCTTGAAGTTCCTCATGGTAATCTGCTAATCAAACTGATGGAGGCAGAAGGCTGGCCTTTACAGCAAGTGTTGTAGGAGCTGAGCACAGGCATCACAGCTGCTATCACAGTGAGAGGAGCAATTCAGCCTGCCTGAGGCTCAGGAGCAGACTATGGCTAGAGCTGGTAAAGAGAAGTAGTCATCTTGCTTAAATTAAGCAAATTGTCTGCTGTAAGTGCCTAATTTTGGCAGTGGAACAGCTTCCAACGTTGTCTGCATAGATGTCATCTTCATATTTGAGTGCTGGGAACAAATCCATTGCAGGAAATGAGCGTATATTTATGGCTAACTTCTCCACACACTCAAAATGTGGGCTTTGAATTTGACATGATTAAAGTCCAGGTGTGGTGTGCAAGGTTGGAACCACTGTGCCATCCCCCCCTTGCCTCTAGGGATGGTGGTGCAGCCAGGGGTTTTGGAGCAGCTTTAATCAGCCCTTGACACTGACCCCATACCACCAAGGAGGACAACACCAGGAAGGTCTGTGGGATGTGTTTGTGTCTTGCGGGTAACAGCATGGGGAGAGATGCTAGCTCCTTAAGCTGGACACGTGACTGTAGTCATGCTCTTTCCCCAAAACTCAAAATACTGCTCCTCTTTCAGAGGTTCAGAGGCACCTGCTATCTGTTCTAGCTTGCTGGTGGCTCAGTTCTACTACATGATGTTGGTAGGGCTGTCCAGCTTGCCTGTGGGCTCGTGGTTAAATCTCCACACACTCAAAACTTGGTGTTCAAGGTTTGTGTTGATTAAAATTATTAGGATTGCGTTTTCATAATGTTTTCAGGAATCTTGTTCTGCTTGCCTTCACAAGTAGTTAATTGTTTCCAGTAGGCCAATAAATATGACTGTACTTTAACATGCTAGTACGTTAATTTATTGTATTAAAGTTGTAGAACTGCAACTAAGAGAAGTCTACACTAGGACTGATAAGAAAAGAAGAATTCAGCATGGAACGTGGTCAGCTCCAAAACAGAAAGCATCTCTAAATAAAGCACTTACTTCTGAGCTCCCCTCTCCCTATTCCTGACTTTGTTATGGAATTGCAGGATTTGAAAGGGATGTCAAGAGATCATCAACCCTCCTGCTGAAGCAGGCTCACTGCAGTAGGCAGCATAAGTAGATGTCCAGCTGGGTCTTGATTATCTACAGAGAAGGAGACACCACCACCTCTCTAGGCAACATGTTCCAGTGCTCCCTCACCCTTACTTTAAAGAGGTTCTTCTGCATATTAATATGGAACTTCCTATGTTCAAGTTTTACTCCTTGTCCTATCACTGCACACCACTGAGAAGAGCCTGATCTCATCCATTTGCCTCCCATCTCCCTTTAGATATTTATAGGCATTTATCAGATCCCCTCTCACTCTTTCCCCAGGCTGGACAGACCCAGGTTACTCAGCCTTTCCTGGTGCTGCAGGCCCTCGATCATCTTTGTGGCTCTCTGCTGGTCTCCTTCTAAGAGAACCCTGTCTTTTTTTGAACTGAAGAGACCAAAACTGGACACAGTAATCTAAATGTGACCTTGCCAGGGCAGAGTAGAGTGGGAGGATAACATTCCTCAACCTGCTGGCCGCTCTTTTTAATGCACCTCATGATACCGTTGGCCTTCTTAGTCACAAGGGCACACTGCTGGCTCATGGCTAATCTGTTGCCCACCAGGACCCCCAGAGCTCCTCTTCAGCAGGTCATCTGCTAACCTGTGCTGATGCACATGGTTATTCTTCCCCTCAAGTGCAGGACTCTACACTTGCTCCTGTTAAACCCTATCAGATTCTTCCCTGCTCAACTCTCCAGGCTGTCCAGGTCTTGTTGAATGGCAGCACAGCCTACCGGTGTGTCAGCCACTCCTCTCAGCTTTATATCATCAGCAAACTTGCTGTGGGTGGACTCTGTCCCTTCAACCAGGTCATTGTTGAGTATGTTGATCAAGACCAGACCCAGCATCAACCTAGGAACATCACTGGTATTTCACCAGTATTTCTGTTTGTTTAGGCATGTCCACTTTACATAGACCTTTGTTACCATCTGAAAAACCTACACAAATGAGGTTTGTTGATTATAAAAGGAGTAAGTGAAGTTCCTGTCAAATGCTTAAAGAAATCGAATCAGATATGTTATCATTTTTCTTTACTGATTTAGTATCATTCCCTTTCACAGCAAAGAATAAAAATATGATTTTGAAATTGCTGTGTCCCTTTATGTGGTATGCTGCTTTTCACGTGGTAGGAATCTCAGTGGGAATATGCTGATTTATATGCTGGCAGTTGGGAATATGCTGATTTATATGCTGGCAGTTATTCTAGTTGCTTATTTGAATGCCATCCTGTGATGTTACCTTTGTAGATACATGCTGTTTCTGTGTTTTTCATGCAACTGCGTCTCATCTGCAAAACTCAAATGTCATTGCCATTCAGGAAAAGGTTACTGGTGAGAAATGTTTGAGCTTTAAATGGATTCTTAATTTTGAATAGGACTTTTTTTTTTTTTTTTTCCCAATTGTGTTGAGCAACAAGTTTAGATCTAAACATCTCTGAAACTTTACAAGATTCAAATCTGGATCTGGCTCAAATGGCGTGATATATCTATTTCTGATAAATGGATAATTCAGCGTGCAAAGAGTACATGCACACAGACAGACATGCACATGTCAATACAAGTATGTGCATCTTGATTCAAGGTGGTACTTGAAAGTAGTAAGCAGCTTATTCGCTTTTCACTGAAATTTCATTGGAATTGACTACATCTCATAAAGAAAAGAATTTAATTTTTAAATGTTTTAAAATCATTTATTAAAAAAAATTATGTAGCTAAAGAAATTACTGATGGGAAAAAAATCAAAGAAAGCAACTGTATTTGTTTTTAAATATCTCATTAGAATATCTGTTAATGTCAGTTTGTCCCTTACCATTGTTTTGTACAATTTGAAAAGAAACATAATAGAAAGAAGAACCCTTGTTATGTGGCTAATGAAATGTAATAGTTTAAATGTTGGAAGTGTTGAAGGATATTGTGTGGGCTGGGTGGCAAAACAGGGAATCAAAATGTGGAAATGAAGAAGACACAGAAACATTCTGGCTGTTTTGGAGGAAACGACTGTCTGATTTTTGGTTTTGCAGAAACAAAGAGCGGGTGGCCTGAATATGAATTCTGTCTTACCAGCAAATCCAGCATTTGGGATCGTTTGCATAAGCATTTCCAGCCTTGGCTCACTTCTATTCTGAATAAGCAGTCAAGCAGTTTGGGTACTTTTCAGTCCCTTATGGGCTGGCAGCACAGAGAGAAGGATCTGATCTGTTTAACTTCTGTTAGCCTGTATGGATGCATCTCCCTAAAAGCAGAAATGTGAAGCTATCTTCATTCCGATCAGAACAATTCCAGAGTACTGCTTTGGTGGGAAAAAAAATGCTCAGTGCTTCGAGCACCCAAGCCTTCCACTGCCTAACCTGGGAGCAGGTGCATGCTGCCTCATATAAGTGGAGTGCTGTGAACATTACTTTGAGCTTTAGAGGGTCTCCGACTGATGCAGCTGAACACTTCATGCCTCCCCAGACCCTCCGCTATGCAACGTGAACTGGTGCTAAAGCTCTGCTGCACTGCAGACACTTCCTATAAGAGTCCCCAAATGTATAGTTAGTGCTCAGAATCACACCAGCTAGTGCACCACCTAACTTTCATCAGCAGGTTTGTGGCTACGATTTATTTATTTTTCTTCCATCTGGAAGTGATTTTAGAGCATGATAGAAACCTGAAGTGGAGACAAGCAGCCTTCTGATTCATTTTCTCTCACACTCATGGACACATTCAATCTTAAAAAAAAAAAAAAAAGAAAAAAAGAAAAAAAAAAAGAAAAAAAAGACTTCAGTGAGGTATGGTATTTATATTTTTTAAAAGACAGGTACTTAGTAAATGCTGGCACAGCACTCCAAAGGCCCAGATGAGACTGCATCCCCTTGGCATGCCTTATGTACAGTCACAGGGTATGAGACAGCTTCTGCCCCTAGGAATTTATCTTCTCACTTGTAACCTATACAGAGGGAGGTCATTGTCCCTAAAGAATGCAAGAGTCCGGATGAAAAGTTGAGAGCCATCCCAGCAGTCTGCATGATAACCTGGGCTTCATTAAGCTTGCTGCCTTCCCTCAGCAGCATCAGGTGCATGGACTGGGGTTCAGACTCTATCACACCCAGTACTTCCGGAGCACAGAGGAGGAAGCAAACCCAGTCATGAAAAGCTCAGCAGCTGTAGCTGCTTAATTAATGGGGTTATTTTAAATCCAGTCACTTAAATTGTCATGGACACCCTTTATTATAGCCTGGACAATTTTATTTCAAGTTAGTTTTAATCAATTAGGAATTGATTTTAGCTAAGTCTGTATAAGAACATCTGATCCAGTTTAACTAAATTGGTTTTAGAGAAGTGAAATGGGTGTAAATTCAGGATGAGCCTAAGGAAGATCTCCCTTTGCCTGATAATGATTAGGTAGAGAGGATCACAGTTAAAACAGCATGTGATGTGCAAGCTCAGGGCTGGCTGTCTTTGCTCTGCCCAGGCTGCAGCTTCCTGAACCGCTGAGGCAGTGACACAGCCTGGTTGTGCTCCATTTGTTTTTCATGAGACTATTTTCTGCCAGCCCAGTGTTTTAAAGGGGTCTGCAAAGATGGCTGAGTTGGAGTTTTGGTGAGCAAAGTGGTTGGAAGTAGGTGGAGGAGGGATGGAGCTCTGCATGGTGGAGTTGAGATGCCAGGTGAACTGAGAGTTATCACTGAAAGTTTTGAGTTGTGGCCCTTTTCTATGATACTATCTCACCTTCGCGGCTACTGAACATTTGCAAAGTTATGTTATTCTTTCATTCCAAGTTGTCTTTAATTCCAACTTCTGATGTTTTTTTTTATTCCAAAACATTATTTTTCTATTTTAGCTATACTTTAGAGCTGGAACTATGTTTTAAAAAAGTACATGAAACTACCCTCCTGTTATCTTCAATTTGCTGTTGTTGTTTTTATCATGATCATTAGGAGCTCTTATGTGGGAACTCTTTATCTCAGAACGGTGTAAATCTTTGTTTCCATTCTTATAAACGGAAAGAACAAAGCTACTGCAATCAAGGACCTGCTACTTTGGTGCTCTCAGAAGAAAAAAAGCAGGATTTCTACCTAGCACTTGTTTACTTTGTGCAGGAGCTGTTCCGAGCTTGATTTCTTCTGTAGGTACAAGTAGTGTTAATGAGGTGTTAATGTGTATGTAGGCGATGCACTCATAGATTTGCCTTTGATCATTTGGTGTTATTTCTTTTCTTTTTCGTTTTTCTTCTTTTTTTCCTTAACCTCGAAAAGCTGCTTGCACCATGAGAGCCTGTTGACTTAACAGAAATTTCTTTGGGAGCTGAAAGAAACTCTGAAAACAACGTGAAGTAAAATTCCCACCCACTGCTGTGGGGTCAGTATTGTTCCTCTGATTACAATTGTTTGAAGAGCAAAAAAATTTCCAGTGGTTTGCCTACATGCAGTTTCTGTACTGCTTTAAATACAGGCTTGAAACTATTATACTGGAAGCAATGTACCTATATGGACCCTAGTACAATGAAGTTGTGTTATTAACATGATATTTATGCCAATCTAGCCTATTCTTACAAATGTAGAGGCAATAACAGTGCCTCCATAGCTATATCAATACCATAACTTTGACTTTAAAATTGTACTCTTAAGGAGCTAGCCTGGCACAAAGACCGGGTGCATTAGATTTGAGTTTCCTACTTCACAATTATTAACATGTATGAAAAGTGAAAATGAGGCATTTAAGTCAGGAAAGCTCCAGAAAGTAGAAAAACGATGATTTCCTCTTATTGATGTGAGCTTTCTTATCCTGTTGTTTTTGTTATCACTTTTGCTCACTCTTGCTGACAGAAAGCAGCATTGCCTCATGTTTATCTGAGTGTCATGAAAAACAATTGATGGGTGTGTGTACATGTGCAGGACCTTTATAAAGTGAACACATACAAAGCAGAGTTGAAAAGATGGTCTGCCTAATGCTCATGTGTCATTCCCAGTACTTCCAAGGCTTCTATAAGCCCCTGCTGCCTGAAACAACCATGTTTTTGAGAAAATGATTCTGTGGGTAAACTAGTTTAAACTAGTTAAAAAACTAGACCTGGTTTGTAAGGCTGCCAAGAAGGGGCTTCACCATCCCAGTCACTGTGCAACCAGCAGGCAGGTCCTACTCTACAAATAAAAGCCCTTCTGATGTATCTGTCCTGGACAGCAGGCAGACATGAAGCGCACAGGTGGAGATGATGGTACCATAGCAGCAACCATAATGCTAGTGCTGAGGCTTGGGGAGAGCTGGGTGTGGGAGGCTGCTTAGGAGAAGCAAGAGAAATGGAAAAGGAGGGAAAATGAAGTGAGAAAGAGAAGCAGGATAAGACGGGAGCTTGTCAGAAAACAGTGCAGGAGGCTGGAGGTAGGAGCCTGCCAGCACAACTTGACAACCCAGTCAAAACTGTTTGAGAGTTAGCTCCAGCAGCAGCTCCAGCAGCAGCTAGAGACTCTTGGTGCCGAAGGCTCTGCAGCTTTCCTTCTTAGCTGGGGTCTCATTCTTGTTCCAGTCTTCCCCCACAGGCCACATGGCAGGAAGAAGAATAAAGTCTGAATGACAAAGAAGGAATTTTGATCAGCCAAGTCATGCTCCTGTTCCAAGCCATACTTTTGATAGCGCCTGTCTCTTATCTAACTACAGAAAGTTCTGGATGAATTATCCTTACCAGACTTAAGTCTGCTTTTGGAAGTACCCTCCTCTTCTTGCACTCTCCTAATTCACCCCAGAAAGAGTCGGCAGGGAAGGAGAGGTGTCTCACTGCATAAGGTTATGTCCAAGGTTGGCAGAATAGCTGGGAGATTGGGCCCCAGTTTATACAGTCCACACGTTTCTGCTTTATTTGCATCTGATGACTCATTTTTTCTTTTTGCTTGTTTGAAAATATGGGCAAACTCCTCCAGCAGGAGAGGGAGAGCTTAAAGATACTGGCAAAGAAGAGGCATAGTGAGCCTTATACCTCTGTGTATGATGCTTGCTTACAAGCCTGAATAGGGTGTCTGGTTTGTTAATAGATCTTCAGTGAGCCTGATGTGGCAGAGATGAGCATCTCACAAGGGAAAAATGGTGGCCATGGGAGCATTTGCTGTTCATGGTGAACAGCTCTGGCTGCTGTACATGTCCATCTCCTATTTCTTCCTCTCCCACCCAAGGCTTATGTCTTGTTGTTCCAGTTGGGGCTTAATGTGCAGTTTCCTGTATTTTTCTCTGAGTCTGTTTTGATTTTCTTTTTCTTTTTTTTTTTTTCTTTTTTTTTTTCTCCTTTTCATGCTGAAGTTGCAGCTGACAAAAGGTGCCAGCCTATTTAACAGCTGCCTGGAGATAAGCGCTTGGTGGATGCAGACAGCAGGTGCGGCATGGGTGGCAGTGTCGGATGCCAGCCGAGACATTGCACAGAGTGCCATGTCTCCTCTGCCTCCATGTTCACTTGCCCTGTTGGTGAGAGCTGCCAACAGAGTGTTGCAGAAGATGCTGATTTTTGGAATGGCAACGGAATGCTTTGGAGCCGAACATATTCCATATGTTTTCACACCTGAAAGCTTTTCAAGATATCTGAGATGTTTCCTTTTAGGCACATACATGGAACTTTTTTTTTTTGCCTGGCTTTAGATATCTTACTTTAAAAAAAAAAAAAAAAAAAAAAAAAAAAAGCATATGATGATTGCTTCCAATGTGTGCTTATAGAAACTGGAGACATTTGCATTCCTAGTATAGGAGAAGATAGGAACTTGACAGATATTTGATTTGAGTTGGCTTGTTATTTCTGGTTCTGACTTATTGCAAACACTATGCCTACTGCTGTATCTCTACTGACTGAAGACAGGCGTCCTGAGGGATAACTTCGTTTTCTGTCTCATTTAGAAAGGGGAAAACACGACTCCAGCTCTGCTACCTGTGAAGACAGACACAAATTTGTAATTTTGGCTTGAGTAAGATTGAAAGCGTCATCAAACTCTGAAAAGTGATCATTCATTAACCCTGTCTTCTCTGAGGTGCCCCAGCAACCTGTGGCCCTGATGTCCAGAGGTGTGTTGGGAAGGCTGGAAAAACAAGTGCTTGGCACTGCTTGGGGTAAATCAGTGAGGAAGTACTGGTGAGAAGCTATGAAGGACAACCAACTTGAATTCAAAGCTTTGCCAGTTCCAAAGTACATCACCTGATCTTCCCCTTATCTGTGTTCAACCTGGCATATCCTATCCAGGTCCTGAACTCAGTAGCTTTGAGATAGTGTCCTTGGGCCTTAGCCCATATGGTGGCAGGGAAGGTTTTACTTTTGCATCTCTATAGCACCAGAGTCCATCAGAGTTTTTCTGACAGCTCAAATGTTGTTCTTAGCAGAGAAAGGCCCTGATCATGTCTTACAGTCCAAGCAGAAAGGATGAACATGAGTTAGCACTCAAGAGCTTGTCTTTGTCACTACAAAAACTAAAGCAAAAGCTTATTTTTTCAGCATTGCCCTTCTCTTGACTGAATCAGCACAGGCAATGTTCTGACTTCCCATTAAGGACTTGCTGGGTTTGACAGCCCTGAAAATGAAGGTACAGATAGAATTCAGCAAAATGCTCTAGAGTGGGTACCAGCAGCAGTG